TTATTAAAACTATATATTCTACATATATTTATATTATATAACTAGTTTGCATGTAAGAACAGTTTTTATGTCCCCATGTTGATATGTAGAAAAACAAGACGATATAAAAATTGTCGGTTTAGAGTCAACACGTAATGTATATACCAAAAATTTTTGTTTTCTATCATTAATTTGTAATCATTTATATTTTTGTACTTTGTATGCAATATTTTTACGCCCTTAAAGTTTTACATCCGCACGCGGGTACGCATTGCACGCTCAGAATCGACCTTGCATATTAAAAAGTGATACACAGATATTTACATTATAAATCTTTTTGACTAACTTAATTAACTGAATGTGCAAGCAAAATTATTCTCTTTTATTGTAACATAGAAATAATAAGAATAACGAGCATGTTCTATTTGTATATAAAAGCAAACAATGTCATTTATATTTGGGCAAATAATTTTTATCGCAAAAATAAATATATTGTAGGGGGGGTTTTTCTGAGTAATTCCCCGCAAGAAAAAAGTGGGGGAAAGCATTTGTTTAGAAGATATAATAAATTAAAATTTCACAATTTTAATGTTTTCTTTAAAGTATTATAAAATAAAATTAGGAACAGCGATATTTGTGTACATTGTATTTCTTGCAGAGGACGTAGGAAATGTTTTTGTTTATATTTACGAGATAGGTACAAGGTCATAGATATTTTGTCAATAGTCGGATTCAGCTATTTCGGTGAATAAATATATTTAAAATACTTTCTTAGTCCTTTAAATTTTAGTTTTAAATCAGAAATAGGTTTGGGTTAGGTTTTATCTTCCGGAAGTGGAGTTCCCCCGTAGGAGGGGGCGGAACTCACTGTGTCCACGCATATACTTTACAACGCATGACTTAAAACTAAAATTTGGTTTGGATTACGTTATATAATCCAAATTGTAGCTTCGGGGTGGAATTTTTTCGGGGTGGAGGAACAGGCGGAGGGGCCTCGCCCCTCCTCCACCCACGCGTGAAAGTCGTAAGCCTTTTTTAATAAAAAAATAACAGATTATTACAGCATACACAAACTTTAATGTCAAACTTTAATTTGTCATATCGTCTAAACGAATGCTTCCCCCCACTTTTTTCTTGCGGCGAATTACTCAGAAGAACCTCCCCTACAACATATTTAAGCGGCGATAAAATCGGTAAGGTGTAACCTTTTATGCATATTTACCCAAATTGTACATTTTAAGATAATAAAAACTATTGTTTGGCAAGTATTTTGGCTATTGCAGCGGTATCGTTTGGATAATGTTTTCTTAAGCTTTCATTCGGTACGTAATAAGTGCCTTCGAAGCTGGAGAAATATCTTCCAATTTCTATGTTATCGATTTTTTTTGATGAGCATATCGATAGTTGATCTAAAAATAAATATATTTTACATTGTACAGATAAAAGATCATAAAACATATATGTCATTTATCAGAATGCTACTAATAATCGTACCTTGTTGCACATAACATACTCTATGATTCTCGGCAAGAATGATGTAGTGCAGTTGATGGACACTGGCTGAAAATTGTTGACATTCGCAAATGTGATAAAAATCACAGCATTTATGTAGATATGGTAACATAATAGTCTTGTCCAATTTGTCCCGAAACATTCTATCACATTTATGATTCCATCCAATAATTACGCCGTCATGATTATTAGAGAAATAACCTTTCCATGTATGCGTTACGATCATTCCAACGGCAAATTTAACATTTTTTGTCCTCCTTTTTAATGGTTCTTTTACTGCGTTAGATCTAACCTGTGGAAACATAATACTAAATTCAATCGATTTCTTGTTACACAAGCAGTTTTTAAAATAATTTAATAATTTAAGTTATAAATAATTATAATTAATATAA